TTCATTTGCATCCGGATATGCTCGGGAGTTTTTGATTGCATTATGATATCTTGAACTGATCATAATATAGTCGATTTGGTTTCTGGCTGTATCACCTGGACTACTCCATGTATAACGTCATGTGGGGTGTACATTAAACCAGGTATTTGCAATGATCTCCACATTCCTTCTGTTCTCCCAGACCGTGCGGTCCAACAGTCTTCCCATCTCTTTCTGATCCAACTGAAGCATTTTAAGTTACCAATGATAATTAATATTTCATTTTATTTACATGTTAAGAATATATCATAAAGAGAGCTCTAGAAGGTATTAATTTGATGGTGATGATATTAATTTTTACTTTTACAATATTAGCTATGATCTTAGCTAGAAGCATGTGGTCATTTTGGGCCAGAACGATAGAATGGATTTTGAAAAGTTTTTATGCAGGAGCTGAGCTACTCCATTTTCATGTTCTTGACCTCCTGAAAAGATAATTCTTTTCAGGTCCTTCATAAACTCGCCAGCATTGGACCATTTGACTTCGCACAAACCTAAGCATCCCTGCATTTGAATCCTGCTACCGAGAACGGACCTTACAAGACAACCTTGTAATGCCCCGTTTACGTCGTTTTGTTTATTTTCGTAAATTTTCTGATTTGACATCATGTAGCTGACTGGGTCCTTACACTGGGTTGACTGACCCATGATCCCTCCCCAGGGGAGTAGTTGATTAGGTAATCATTGTTGGTGGTTGTCAATCCATCACAGTTATAATAGACTCACCCATTACCATATCTAGGTCTGACTTACTCAACATGTGCAAATCCATGTGTGTACCCACGTGAATGGACGCAGTGTATGTGTGGAATTGGATGGATTTGCATATATTGGGTAAATCAAGCCAAGATACGGTAGTGGGTGAGTCTATTGTTGATATGATGGTGAGTTAAAAACCACCAACAATGATTACCTAATACATATATATATATATATATATATATATATATATATATATATATATATATATATATATATATATATATATATATATATATATATATATATATTTATATATATATATATATATATATATATATATACATATACATATATATATATATATATATATATATATATATATATATATATATATATATATATGTATATATATGTATATATATACACATATATATACATATTATTATTTAAAGATATATCAGTTTAAGAGAACTATTATTATCAATATTAGTGTCAAGTTGAGTAGGTGAAGGAGAAATAAAAACTGTATATGTATATGCTAATCTTTAAGAATGACCAGTTTAAGTAAACCCAAAACTCACATATACATTATTATATACTGTAATGCTTAAGTTCTTCCATGCGACTAATTAACAGTATTTTGATAAACTACAGTACAATACCTTAGTTTGTAGCTCTAAACCCTTTAAAACATAGTACCCTAACATAGTGGATAATTGTTCTAAAGAGTTGGTTTAGTAGAATGAGGTGGAAAGTATTATCTTTCAATGAAAAAATATATATACTACAGCACAATGAATTTACACTGTAGACAACATTTCTTCCCTCTATAGTACTGCATATTGTAGACACCAGTGATGAACAGAACACAGACTGATGGAAAAGACTGAAGGGTAAAGGATATACTAATACACTGTGACATACACTGCCGAGTATACAATTCTGGTCTCTAGAGAACTGTATCACTAGAGTAAAAGGATGTGGAGATGGGAAGGAAAGATGTGATTAATTAAAGTGGGAAGGATTGGCAGACAAGATACAGAATAGCGTTTTGAACTCCAACAGATTATAATCTCTAAAGGATAGTAGGATAGCCATGCAATCCTTTTCATTTGCCAATTTGATGTAAGGGCATGCTGGGTTATAATTTAGCCTTTCCCGAAGTTTTCTATGAGGGTTTTATGAAATTTCTGTAAAGCACTAGCGTCTATGTGTGTGTATGTGCACACACACATACATATACATGTAAACACACACACACACATACATATACATGTAAACACGCACACACACACACACACACACACACACACACACACACACACACACACACACACACACACACACACACACACACACACACACACACACACACACATATGTATGAGTATATATCCAGCTTCTATGTCTGGCAAAACATCTATGACAAATTATTGGCATATATAAAGAATATTAGATAGAAATGAATTGCAAAGAAAGAGAGAAAGAGTAAGAGAGAGGAAACATAATAGGATAGTTTCTCATTATAAGGCTATCGTTTCCATGTGGTTCTGAGATACTGTATAAAATACATGTCCAACCAAAGTCATTTAGCATTATATGGAACACCTTAGAAAGCACCAAGCCATTCACCGCCTTAATGACTTCGCTTCGTGCTCTAGTCCTATTTGTGTGGTAAAAGAAAACAGTGCTAATGATTTCAGCCACTCAACATTACTTACCACAGTAAATAGTGTTAAGTGATAAATTACTCCCGAAAGTATTTTAGACTAACCAAAAGGATATGTGTGACTTGCTTACATTATATATACTTTTTCAGTCTGATGCCCTGTACTAATTGCAACATGATTTGGTCGAAAAAATGTCTTACGTAAGGCGGTGTAGCATTTGAAGCCATGCATATTCTTTTGTGATATTCCCTAAAGAGTGGATGAAGTTTGTACTTGTATTAGTATGTAATTCATAACAGCTGTGCTATATTTGAACTTATCAGCACAAAAGAATATTTTCCTTGACACACACACATATACAAAATATGTATAATTATAACTATATATATAAATGTGTATATGTATATATATATATATATATATATATATATATATATATATATGTATATATATATATATATGTATATATATATGTATATATGTATATATATATATATATATATATATATATATATATATATATATATATATATATATGTATGTATATGCATATGTATTTTGTGTGTGTATGTACATATATGTATATACATATTTATTTTTATATATACATACATACAAACACACACACACATGTATGTATATATATATATATATATATATATATATATATATATATATATATATATATAATACCTATATAAATATATGTATATATATGAATATATATATATATGTCTGTATGTATTATGTACATAACAATTCCTAAAAAGAGTTAGTCAAAACAGGTTGATTCCGAGACATTTCGAAGGAAGTGGTTTCTTTGTCCAAGAGGAAATGACTATAATTTCTAAAAGCGTCTTAGAAAACGAAAGTTATGAAAAACGCTTGATTATTTACTTCCGGTCCGTAAAAACACATAGTAAAAGAGTCTAGGTCGGATTGCGCTATATTCTTGTGGTTTAATAATACTACGTAGAGTACTTAGGCAATCTCGTGTTCATATGCATATTATTTGTTATTTCCCTTAACTCCTCATTTGATAAAGCAGCCTGTCCATTACATGCTTACTCCAGAAACAGTGAAACCTTCGCAACTAAATATTGTTCTAAAAGGTGAACAGTTGAACAGCTAAGTATAAAACTGGTGAGCTTATGAGTCGTAAAGTCTTGGCAGCCATCTCCCCCCCATGTTTATTCCCTCGTGATGTTATTCCAAGTGACTGTTGTTGTTACAGGTCAAGGGTTTAGTTAGGATAGCCCCCCTCCCTTTCCCGGCCGTTATTTTAAGCATGTGTATTCGAGTTGGAATTATCAGTACAGATTCGGTTCGTAATTATAGTTGGTTATTATAGTTAGTTATTGTAGTTTATGTGTAAATTACCGAGAATGAAAATAAAAATGTCATATTTCGGTAATTTTGATGATGTAATAGGATTGTCATGATTTTTATTATCAAAGTCATTTTCCGTGTTATTCTGTTAGTATTGTTGCCATAACTCAGTGGCACTTTTACTTGAATAGTCATTAATTATATCTAGAAACTCTTTACGGTCGTTGCTAACAAGGTAGAAATAATGGCGAGATTATAGCCACACCTAAATTTTACGCGAACTTGTCATTTGTCTATATATATAATCTCATCTATGTTCCTTAGCTTTTAGTTAACCTTTAATGTTATTGTTATTCCTGTCATTTCCTCCGTAAATTACGCGTGTGTACATATGCAAAAACAGTCACGTGCAGGAAGAAAAGATAGTCGATATTTTCGCCACGATTCGCTGCCTACGGGAAACAGCGCAAGTTAATGGGTCCCTTACGTAAGATACCGCGGTGTTTGGCAAGAGGCTTCAGGTTATCGGTTTCATTTTCACGCGTCACCTTATAGGTTCTCCATCTCCCGCACATAATTTACCCCAGGTGTGCGAAGACCTGTCAAGAAGTATGTGTCCGTTATGGATGACTTTCTTTTTCGACGTACCTGATCTTTTCTCGTATTTCTCCTTCTTCTCTTTGTCCTTCCTTTTTCCTTTCCTTTTCGTAAGGGGCAATTTCTTTATACATCTAACTCCCTGTCTTTATGTTTTATATGTCTTCTCTCAGTGCCTATCTCTTTTTCTTTATATTGTATCTAAATTCTTGTCTTTATCACCTTCCTATCTGTCTGTCAGTGTAGCTAGATCCTCCTATCTCTCTGCCTCTGCCCGCCCTTTCCCTTTCCTTCAATTCTCGCTCTACACATATCCCACTCTTTGTGAAATCCAAGCTGCTTATAATTTCTTGCTTACAGCCGCTGCACCTTTACCACGGGGACTTCCCAGGCGAGGGGTGCGAATGTATTTCTAGACGTCCGACATGACGAGCAGGCGGAGCAGGGTGGGGAGGTGGAAGTCCTGGGGAGGGGGGGGAGGGGGATTCCTTGTGGAGTTACGGACCACAGAGCGTCTTTTTTGGTCATACCGTAAACACAAGGCAAACGGGAGTAGGGAGGGGAGGGGAGAGATGGGCGTGAGGGGGAAAAGGGGAAGGGTGTAAGGGGAAAGGTGTGGGCTTAGACGATGAATTCGGGGGGGGAGGGGATGTGGGTGTGGGTGGGACGTTGTAAGAACTCGGGAGCTTGTATATAAGAGCTATGAGGTTCCGAACTACCTTTAGTCTTCAACGGACTCAGGATCTACAACTACTCAGTAAGTGATCGCGCCCTTGGCTTTGTTTGGCATCATTTTGACGTTTGCTTATCAAGTGCGGTCGGAGTGGATAAGGTTCCGTGCAACTTGGGACTTCTTGCAGAGATAAGGCGTATAATCACATCTTCGTTATGAAAGGAAGTGTTGACAAATGAGGAAAACATTGTTAATTGTAGTTCTACTTATGCCGATTACCTAACATAAATAATAATAATTCGCAATAAACCATCATAGATTCAATTATCAAATGGAAACAAATATTTTGATATTTACATTTAAAAAGTAATCTCTACCTCATGTGTAATCAATGTCAAAACGTAATTACAATTTCAAACGTAATAAGCTCATTGTCTTGGAATAAGTACTTACATGATTTTCTTAAATTTTACAGCTTTTGTATAGTAATTTGATTAAATACATTATGGAAATGCTACAGGATAGGTCACTGCATTTCAGTTCTACTAAGCATACGGACAAAAAACTAAAACTCTTATATTAATAATAGACTCTTCAAATTAATAGTTATTTCGTACGACATAGATAGTATAGCCATGAAAAAAGGAAGTTATGAAAATTATTTAAAAAAAAATATCGAATATATATGCAAACACACATATGTGTGTATTTAAGCTTGCATGTGTATATATAGTGTGCATTTAATAATTAAGTTTATATGTTCGCAGATTCAGATCAAAATAACCTTCCTCAACCATGTGTGACGAAGACGCTTGTGCTCTGGTGGTCGACAATGGCTCCGGCATGGTCAAGGCTGGCTTCGCCGGAGACGACGCCCCTCGCGCCGTCTTCCCCTCCATCGTCGGTCGCCCCCGTCATCAGGGTGTGATGGTCGGCATGGGTCAGAAGGACGCCTACGTCGGCGATGAGGCCCAGAGCAAGAGAGGTATCCTGACTCTCAAGTACCCCATCGAGCACGGTATCATCACCAACTGGGACGACATGGAGAAGATCTGGCATCACTCCTTCTACAACGAACTTCGTGTTGCTCCCGAGGAATCTCCCGTCCTCCTCACTGAGGCTCCCCTCAACCCCAAGGCCAACCGTGAGAAGATGACCCAGATCATGTTCGAGACCTTCAGCGCCCCCGCCATGTATGTGGCCATCCAGGCCGTGCTGTCCCTGTACGCCTCCGGTCGTACCACTGGCATTGTGCTGGACTCTGGTGATGGCGTCTCTCACACTGTCCCTATCTACGAAGGTTATGCTCTTCCTCATGCTATCCTTCGTCTCGACTTGGCTGGTCGTGACCTTACCGCTTACCTGATGAAGATCATGACTGAGCGTGGCTACTCCTTCACCACCACCGCCGAACGTGAAATCGTTCGTGACATCAAGGAGAAGCTTTGCTACGTCGCTCTTGACTTCGAGAGTGAGATGAACGTCGCTGCTGCTTCCTCATCCCTGGAGAAGTCCTACGAACTTCCCGACGGTCAGGTCATCACCATTGGCAATGAACGCTTCCGCGCCCCTGAGTCACTGTTCCAGCCTTCCTTCCTGGGTATGGAATCTGTTGGCATCCACGAGACCGTGTACAATTCCATCATGAGGTGCGACATTGATATCAGGAAGGATCTGTTTGCTAACATTGTCATGTCTGGTGGTACCACCATGTACCCTGGTATTGCTGACCGTATGCAGAAGGAGATCACTTCTCTGGCACCTTCCACCATCAAGATCAAGATCATTGCTCCTCCTGAGCGCAAATACTCCGTGTGGATCGGTGGTTCCATCCTGGCCTCTCTGTCCACCTTCCAGGCCATGTGGATCACCAAGGAAGAATATGACGAGTCAGGCCCCGGCATCGTTCATCGCAAGTGCTTCTAAGCTTACTTCACGTTGATCATGATGCAAAGATACTTCATTCGGACTTCCTCTTATACGATTACTGTTCACTTGAACTGTGAATGAATTCTTTACGGATCTCTTTAAGATAATAATTGCCACTTTTTTACGATCTCTACCCTTTTATGTAACTATATTTTCTAAATATATTATACATTCTACCTTCTGTGTTCTTATTCATTTCCAGTAAATCACAAGAAAATTACAGAACAGAATACAATGATAATGATAAAAGCGCCCAAGTAGTTACACAAATACAAACAAAGCTGCCTATCTGTCTATTAATAAATGCACCTTGCATGTATGCCGAAACAAAGTCAAATGGCAAAAAAAAAGGTTCTTAAGAAATACATGAGGGAGAACAACAATAACAAAGCAGCGGAAAGTTGTAGCAATTCACAAACAAACAAACAAACAAAAACAATATCCCACATTACATTTACTACCATGATAATTAACGATGCCTGATGAGAGTTTCTAGTATTTCCTTTATTCAGTTTGATCAATAATGAAGCATCATAATCCTTTACTGTCACGCTTAATTCATTTTAAATTTCATTTCAAAAATATACATTACAAAAGAAAAGATAAGTAGATTTCTAACAAAGAGAGACCAATATCTATCCATCCATCTATTAATCTGCTTATCTATTTACTATTTATCTATATGTGCGGATGTCTGTGTAAGTGGAGTAGCCGCTTGCTACTCTACTTACTCTTCTTGCATTTCATCTCGCTTTCTCTTTCTCCCCTCCCCCTCTCTCTCTCTCTCTCTCTCTCCCCCTTCTCCCTCTCTCTTTCTTTTCTCTTCTCTTCGCTCTCTCTCTCTCTCTCTTTCTTTTCTCTTCTCTTCTCTCTCTCTCTCTCTCTCTTTCATTTCTCTTCTCTTCTCTCCCTTTCTCTCACTCTCTCTTACTCTCTCTCGCTCTTACTCTCCCTCTCTTCTGTATCATCTGCCTACAGGTTTATAGACAGATAGGAATAAATCACAACATTAGAACACGCGCAAGTTACATATACAAGAGAGTTAAAGTTTCTGTAATGTAAACAGGTCTCGCAACCTGTAATACCGTCGTTTCTCGAGGGTTCCTCAGCCTCGCCAGACACCAGACGCGGCGCCCCTTCGCCAGACGGAGACAGT